TGAGTAAAATCTTTGGAGAACTCGGGACACAAACAGCTGCCTAAATTTGGTGTTTCCATTTTTGATTTGAGGAACATTTCTTTCCCATTTGTAGTTCCCTCCTTTGCTAACATACTTTTCTTCCTGAAGGGAATGATACGTGTGTGAAGTTTTGGTAGGCATTACTGTGATATTTGTACTGTACCTACTGCATGAGCTTCTTCGATGTAGATGATAAGAAAATCTGCTATAGAGCTGAAATCTTTGATGAGCTTGTTGAACTCATCAAATTTTATCATAAACGAAGGTCAGGTGCAGCTTCCAAAATTCAGGACTAAAGGTCGGCTACCTGGAAAAAAATGGGACAGTTTGTGGTTAAATCAGTGGTGGGAGGAAGGACAGAATTAAATTATGCTCTGAATTGGGCCTCTGCCACAGGGTTTCCTGGGAAACAGTAGGTATGTCACTTACCCCATCACTTTCTTCTTAGGACATTAAAAGCGGCAGCAGAGCATCTGCATCTATGCAAAACAGGCAGAAAGCAACTTTCTTGTCCCTAGCCTGGCTGTGACCTGTGCCAGAGCTTAACCGAGGGACACCCTTTCCTTTGTTAGGTCCAGTAAAAGCAGGAGGCACTGTGCGGTCACACATCTTCTCTCGTGTCCTCATCACAACAGCCAATTCTCAAATTCCCAACATTTTGGGATAGGACACTTGTCTAAAATGGGTATACAGCATGTAGCACATTGCAGCCTCCCCGAGATCCTTAGTACAAAGGAACTTAAAAAATACTAACACGATCATCTGCAAGGTTTTTCGAAGGACAGTGCTTCAGGGATGGACATAGAAGCAGAGGGTCCTACTACCTTTTAATAAACCTTTTGGACATGTCTTGATTTTTTTCAGAGATGCCAGTTCTAGCTGAGCCGAGTGGAAGCTGCAGACTTTTCAGTCATGCATCGCATGCTTTCATGTGTTCAATGCATTTCTGCAATTTCCTGTCCAAACAGAACTCTGTTTATATATTATTATTTATTAAACTAATATTACACAAGCCTCTGGCAAAAGTGTCTATGCAGTTGCTTACAAATTAACACAGTATGTGCCCACAGGTATTAGCATCTGCTTGCAAGCCTCGATTTCAGAGAACTTGCAGGATTTTTAAGTGCCTCTTTTAGTCTATGGTTATGCTAAGTTATCTAAAATTTGTTCAAAATCTTCCTTCTGGCTGGGCTTAACTTCAAAAATTGCTGTTAATATAGATCCATATCCTAAAGAATCTAATAAAGGGGGTGCCTCACTGTAGATATTGTGTATTTTTCCAAATTTGCATCCTATTTTCTGCATAAATATATCTATATCTATATATAATTAGAAAAACAGAGTTTGAGAAGGAGGTAATCCCTGCCATGGGGATCGAGACTGCAGCTTAATGTTTAATTCCACGTTCTACAGTGATCTCGGTGGGAGACAGAGGACAAAGTACAAAGCAGCTACTTTTTCTTCTGTTTTATTTCTAGCCACTTTGAATCTGGGAAAAAACCCCACCGTGTGCTTCCTAGGCTTTAGGCTGGCTAAAGGGAGCTGGTGAGGGACTTGCTGTACATATAGGGAATGACAGCCAATACTCATGAATCACTGCACACACAGTTCTGATTCTGGGTCTTCTCTCCCTAAAACAAATTATCTTAGCTTTCAGTGAAAAGGTATTTCCAGGCTGAACCAGCTTTTCCAAGAGGTTCATAAGCTGACTGGTGTGAAGGGATATTGCAGCCAGGATGATAAACATGGCTTATTTTTGCAAATCAAGAGGCAGACAGCTGGAGGGAATGTGCTGCATCTTTTTCCATCGAGTGAATGCTGATAGTCTGGTCTGCCATGTTGTGCACTCTCATGCCAGCTGTCTGTCCCTATTCCCACAGCAGCCTCTTCTCATTTATCATCTTAGCAAACCAAACCCATCTATGTGGCAGATTTACCGACCTTGCATGAAATCCAAGAGGTGATGAACTTCCCCGCTGAAAGTCACCACCGGTGTGTTGGGAGCGGGATGTCCCTCGTAAGCTTCATCCTCCAGCCTCTTCCACTTCACCTTCAGCACGAAGAGCAAATACTTGAAGCTGAAAAACGTCGGACCCCAGTTTTCATAGCTGAACTTTGGATTCTCATTCATTCTGCTCTTTTCACCCTGTTTTAGGATGTACCTTTTCATGGCATTGGGGAACAGTATCATCAGCGTTTTGCCAATGACAACACATGTAGTAATGTGCAGAAGAATCAGGATTTTTTGTAGGAAGACCCTGACACTGAACATCGTGGTGAAGGAGGTCTGATCGCTTCCGACAGGAATGCAGCGTGACAGCAGGGGCAAAGGTAGAGGGCGAGGGGGAGGAAAAATGTTCACGTGTTTAGACAAATTTCTGCCTTGCTTTGCACGCTGTCACCTCTCCGTGGACTTCAGTGTCTGCGTGAGCAAGGAGCCTGTCAGCTGCACTATCTTCATCTGCACCAAAGGCATTAATTACAGCGACAGATAGATTTTCAGTGCTAACTGCATGGTTATAAGACTCATTCACAAATATGTCCTTTATTTTGCTAATGAGAGGAGCCAAATCAGGATGTTTTTCCCAGGACCACAGATCACAAATAAGAATTATGTTAGCAGAACCTGAGGGCCTGATCCTGCCAGCAGTTATGAGTTTGGATCCTGCACGTGCAGGGCTCGGAGCTCTAAAAATTTAATATGGGACCATGGATGATGCTGATGCTTGAGGTCTTGGATTGATGCAGCCATTTGCGTTTTGCATGTGCTATGCAACCAGTGTCCTGTTCCTACAGCACTGTTCCTTCGGTGCTCTGCTGCGCACCAGTATTTGTCACTTTGGGGCTGGAAGGATACCCCCAAAATATATATATACCATGATACATAAAAACATAAATGATCAAAATATATAATGCACATTTATAATATATATATAGGCATATGACTATAATCTATATGGGTTTGTATATAGCATGCACCAATACATGCATGCAACGATGCCCCATTGCTG